CGGCTCTCTCCTGTAGGTCACTTCACTATCACAGCAGGATTTGACTACTCAGAATGTCGGATAAGGTAAATTATACATTTTACAAAAATTTAAATTTTACTTCGATGACAAAACCACGGGAAAGACAAGCCCTAGCGTTTGGTTATGGAGTGAGAACAGACCTACAAAAGTGGGAAAAAATAATTTGACTGCAAAAAGAATTTCTGTGTGTGGTAACAAAACTGACTTCAAGGTAATTCCAAAAGCAGTCCTAAGACTTTCCCGACCTTGATTGGTTCTCCACAGAGTCTCAGCTCAGACTACGAGACAGGATTCGGACTGTGATTCTGATTTAATTTAACTGATTGGTAGAATAAATAAATCCGCTCACAGACGTATTTTACTCCCTCGAGTCTACGTCAGATTACTGTGTGACAGGTCTGTGTACTTGTAACCAAGGGAATTCTGTATTTAACGACGCACATACTAGGGATTAACAATCAGACATGTAATTCAATCATTCGGCCCGTCTTCGGGGTGTGACCTCCCCTCTCGACCATTTATTCAGCAGAACTTTCATCCTTCGACGTCGAAAATTTAAGAAAGAAAGCTACACCGACAATTAGCCTTTTCCGTCTTCAACCTACGGTTCGTTTCTTGGCCAAATTTAGTTAAGAAAACTGAAAGATTCCATCTTATCCTCTTCCATTCTCTGCTTCTTACATTCTTTCCTTCGTTAATCTCCTCCTATTCCGTCTCTGTGTTTCATCTCTCCAGCATCTTATGCTTCTATCTTCAGTGCTCTGACCCAGTCAACTGTTCGCTCATGGTCTGAAAGCCACGTACAAATTACCCGGCCCTCAATTTTATAATTCCTCCAGCCATTTATGACTGTCAATGAGATGTGGTATCCATGGAAACTTGACGTGAGTTCAGCATCCCGGAGCGTCGTATAATTATAATTAGGTGTGTATTGTTTATCAAAGCTTCTAGCAATCCTACAGACTCGTCTTTGTAAAATATTTGCTAGAATTAAACAATACAACCTATAAACCTCAAAGTTACGTAAATTATAATGGGGCTTAATATAAATTAAGAATCTTCTTTATAAGATAAGCAAAATTTCATCTTCCAAAAGGATTTCCTTTCATCTTTACCACGCACAATCTTGTTCCGTTACACTTTACCCCACAGACATATTTAATTAATGTTAATTAAAATGCACGCTTGACTAGCAGCGAAAGTGTTCTATTTTATTGCATTTAACATGAGTTCGTAAACACATATTAGATTCAGGGAAGTCTTCCTATTGTCTGAACACGTGTCACAACGATTACTTACACGGAAGAAATTCGACTAATTCTGGCATTGAATGTCTTCACAAAATTACAATATATATATATTTACTCCGTCAATGAATTCAAAACACTGAATGACGTGTTTACGATAATAATCGAAACCCTTAACTTTTACGTGGTGGAATTTTGAAAAAAAGGAATTCACTCCATGGAAGTATAAATTACGAACATACACTGAAAACAGTTACATACTGCAAAAATGAGATGATAATGTTGCGTCATATTGTGTTGAATATATACTTGCTCAATTTTATCAGTCTAATCACAATAAAATATTATTATTAAATGTTAAAAATATTATTACAATTAACATTTAAATATTTAAAATATATTAAAATGATGCTCTCTATCGAAATGTTTCGATTTACATTAGAGAATCACCTTTTACACTACATGTTTCGGTTCTAAATGAACCATCTTCAGGTGTATAATCCATATAAACTCAAATGTAATATCCTAAGTGCAATTCTTCGTCAGATGTTCATCAAATACTACAAAATATTTCCGATTATAAATTTAAAATATGACTACCTCATCAATTAGGAACAGAAGACGAACATCGACGTGTTCACCGCCCTGAGAACCTCAAAGCAACGATTGGAAGTGGGATTTTAACAAGAAAATTACACTGCAGACAGAAATGCCGGCGAACTACATTGCATTCATCCTATATCTAAAATAATTCAACAGTGACGCAGAAATCACAATAAACCAAATTCTAAGCAGTTTTTTTTTTTAAAAAAAATATCGTTTCTTCTGAGACGCGGGCGTTCAGAGTTAGACAGAAAACTTCAGATCGCTTCGTACTGTACATGAATCACTGTTGCCCTGTTTACTCGACGCAACGTCACAACCGAAGCTTGCGTCACTCCGTAATTCAGTGTTTGTTGCCTTAATCAAAGACACAAATTTAGTCCCCAATAAAGCTCGTTAAGCCTCGTGAAATACATATTACAGCGGGCTTTAATGGAGATGCGAAGGTGAATTTTAAAATCGTCTTCCTGCCGGGATGAGGGACAAGGTGTCTTGCTATCATAAGATAGAACACGTGTTACGTTAAACTAACATCACTTATTAAAGCAGAATTATTTTCTTCGTGACCGTATCGTATTTAGAGACGCAGATTTGACGCACAAAAATCTTCACTGAACTAATTTTGGACTAACTAGCTCAGCTGAGCTCGGCCTTTCTTGAGAAGCTAATATTGTCTCAGCTCCTCAAGATATTCCCCGTCTTCTATGAAACCAGAAGGTTCATTACCGTGTTCACAAGAGCCTGCCACCGCTCCCTAACATAAGCCAACCAGATTCAATGCACTCCTTCCCTGAACTTATTCACCTGAGATCAATTTTAATATTATCATCCCATCTACGCCTGGGTCTTCCGAACGGTCTCTGAACTTCAACTTCCAAACAAAATTTTGTGTGCATTTCTTACATCCCATCTGTGGACGGTGGACTATCGACGGAAACAGTCTATTAAAATTATGTATTATCGTAGAATTTCACGAAATAAACTCGTCTGATTCCGGAATTCGGGTTAATCTTCCAAGAAAATTACGTCTTTGATACAATATTCTGCTTACACAGCATTCGTTATAATTTCTCTGAACTTATTCATATGTATCGTGGTGGAGTGCTGACAGACAGCAGTGGGAAACTGAGAAAAAAATTCGTTTTAATTATGATAGACGCGTGGGAGAAGACAAGTTTCAGATTCGCTTGCTATCCGGAAGTGTTAACACGCTGAGACTATGGAATGACAGCAGTTTTTAACGTTCATATACGCAGAAACACAGAATGCCCCATAATAACGCGACCATTTCTTCTGTGCGTTCGTCCTTCATCAGAATTTACAGTAGCGTGATATTGTGGCAAAACAAACTGCAATGTAACAGTTCTCACCTGTGTGTTGCTATATTACATACATTATTTCCAACACTGGTTGTTGTTTTTTTTGCAAAGTGGTAACATTATTCTGGGACGTCTTGTATCTACCGTCTACGTAATATAGAAAATCGCCATATAAACTCTATCGTACAAAAAAAAAGTTATTACACCGGTAAATAGACGTATTTCCCTTCTGGTAAAGCAAACACGCATTGAAAAGAGATGAAAATATTGGTCTTCTGGATAATGAAATACCAATGTTTCGGAGAAACATACTGTATCCATCTTCAGGGATGAATATCGCGTCATAACCTACAAGAACAACATCGTTACCTTCACCTTCCTGAGAACATCAGTTGTCACAAACACCAAAAAGTTTTCATATTCGTAAAGAGATTAAAAAACGTGGGACACTCCCGGAAAGGTACGTACATTACGCTCATGTTGGAGGAGGAGTTTCCGAACTCGTGAGGTGTTCAAGATACGAAGATGGCTGACTTCCGGGTTGTTGCACCTTTTTGTCTGACGGAAGGCTACCGACGTTCCAGAGATGCTTGGTACCTCCATCGTCAGTAAGGAAACAAGCCCTGATGATGGAGGCAGCAAGAACCTCTGAAACGTTGGTAGCCTTCTAACAGACTACAAGGTGCAGCAACCCAGAAGTCAGACATCTTCAGTGACAACCTGAAAAATTACACTGAGAAACATTCGGGACGCACAGAGTCTTGCTTTAATGTCGCAGATTTAAGAATTATATGCTAAATCCTTTTTCTCGTAATTAATAAGGAACCTCACTGACAAATTGCGTATATAATTTTTTTTTGGGGGGGGGGCTTTCGCCAGTACCCAGCCGTCAGTTCTTCATTCTTAAAAAACTTCGATCCCTTTTTCCTCTCTTTTCATCTCATGAGTTTAATGTCACCAGCTCCGATTTTTTTGTAGTTGCCTTATAGATTTCCCTGTCCTGATTTTAATAACAGACGAGAGCGCTGAAAACCAAAGTTTTTCAAATTCTTATTCCTTTATAGACTACACGAAAACATGAAATTCTGGTGGATTAAATGGGCTGTATATCAGACTTACTAGAAAGTTTAAATCTCTTCTTCTTATTCAATCACTTTTCTGACTGAGCTAGGGCTGTACAAATGAAATTCGATTCTCGGCAGGGGCAAAGATTTCTCACTTTGGTGCCGCGTCAGACAGGGCACGGAGCTAACTCGCGCCCCTCCTCTTCACTTGTTGCCGAGATTCAGGGGCTTCCTCTGGACTACGATAATAAATATTAGCATTCTGGGGCCCACCCAGCTTTCTACCCAATGGGTTCCGGGATCTTACCCCTGGAGGAAAATCGAGGGTCGTGAAAGTGACCACTGACCTCCGCCTGGTGCCGGGGTTGAGAATGCGTGGGGTTTCACCTCCACTCCCTCACGTCTTAATGGCAAGGCGCATAATTAGGCACAGGCCGATTGAGACTGGAGGTTACCACGGCGGCAAATGTGAAGATGGCTGTCTTCTCGGATGTTATTGTAAGATTACCGACGTTTCAGAGTTGCTTCTACCAGATATCCCACAAGACAGCCATTTTTAATTCTATTCTACTTTGCTTTACTTTTAGTTACAATAATAAATTATTTAAGTCATATCCAGTGTGACTTTGCAGGTGTACTTAACTATTTTGTTGCATATTTCTGCATTACTAACCATATTTTGTCATATAAACTATTCATTAAACTCTGAAATAAATCCACGTGTAGCAAGTGGTTGCAACACTCACCGGTTGCTGGCGCTTCTACTGTTGTGGACGGGGAACCCCCCTCAAGGTCCCATGGTGTCCGGGGGCGGCTGACATGTAAGGCAGGCTGCCTGCCCCCGGCAAAGAGCGATGGAGTACCGAGCTGCTTGCCTCAGATGCTGAATGGACGCTCGCCGCGCTCCGTCTGTCACTCCAAGTCGTAGCAGAACAAACGACAGCCGACGGGCGCGTCTGCGTGTTCTGGCGGGTTGCGTTCCTTTACAGCGCTCTGATATCCACACGAGCAACCCACTCACAGCACCCCTATTGGCCAGAACAACAACTATTACGATACGCATGCGAAATTTCCTTCTTTTGTAAAATTATTCCCCTCCACTCCACCCGTCTATCAATTTCCACGCCCTAAAGTTTAATTATCGACTCAATATGAACTGGACTGTTGTCAGGAGAACCTATATTTTGGTATGTTAGGACGACTTCACGCGAATGCGAATGATTTCCGCCCTGCTGACTAGATTTTTACTTGAAAAGACCAGCTCCAAATCCTGCCTTATGCCCTATATTTTGAATATCAGCCACATTCCTCCAAGATTTTGGTTCAAATGTTACATAGGATAGTTCATATAACGCGACGCTGCCTCAAACTTTCTCCTGTTGTCCCAACGCTCTTAAGTATTGCATGTTCTTGCAATCGTATACCAGCCCACGCTCAGAGAACCACCATTTCATACTTGTCGCAGAGATAAATTCAAATGTCGCGCATTGGTAGGGCTTACGAGGTTAAAATTTGGCACAAATACATTGAACCAGCCACAAATACATTGAACCGTTGGCCAAAATGTACGTCCTGAATAAATTAACTCCAAAATAAAGATTTCGTGATCGAGTTGAACACTGATGTTAGAAGTACACGTCATTTGTGTGATGAAATTAACTTTCAGTGGACCCTGACTTACTTTCTCTCTTCCAAAACACCCGAAAACATGGCTCTCAACATCAGACGAGTCAGTGATCCTGCATAACTCGGAATGTTGAGCAGATATATTGGACACCAGACGCGGAAAAGGATTTTAAACCATGTGAAACAAATAACAATATTTAAGTAAATCGAATACTGACTGTGGCTTTCTGAACACCCGGTGCATATCGTCAGTTTGATGAGCTGCCAACATATGCACTATACAACACTGCAATCAATCAATCAATCAACCGCTCTAAATGGGAGATGGGGTTGCCGGATAGAGAATCCGCAACATTTCAACTACAAGACATGAAGACAACTTATAACAGCCACATTGAAGAGAATTGTGTGTTATGGCTGTGAAGCGAAATTCTGAAATATGAAGAATAATTGGTAATTAAGAAACAGGCAGAATGTAGACGAAAGGGTTGAAATAGTAAGGGCATGTAATGCGAAAAGGATTAACGCATATCACCAGAAGAGAGAGAGAGCCATATTTATATTAAAATGAGGCTGAAATTCGCAAAAAAAAAACTCCTCGTTACCAGTGAATTTTCTTTATTTGTGGTGGCAACACTGAAAAAGTCGTGGATACTTATATTTGGACAGAGCTGGATCCCCACCTACGTATCTGCAATTTGAAACGGTTCGCACTGCAAGTCTCGTGACCCAATTTGGTGGTGTCGATTTCTGTATTCAACGTCTTCCATGTCTGTTTATCGAATTTCTTCGTAAGCGATCTTTAAACAGCTCATATTACTTGTGACGTCATATATCGGTCACAACTTACGAACTAATAATTCGTGTTACTTTCAGTAAGAAATGTCCACATTTCTGTATATCTGTAACTATATTATTACACACACATCACGAATTAAAATAAATGTCGTGAGATTGTTGAAATAATACCCGTTCTTAACATTAGTTCCACGTAAATTAAAATCTGTAATTTAACTAGCTGAAATATCAAAAGGGAAATTTTCTTTTTCTCGAATGATAGTCTCCAAACCCTATAAATTAACCCCTAGACAATGTAGTCCTAATTATGTAAAACTGATTATTATTCTCGTCATAAATCACACAGATTATTAACCTCCACCTAGGGAGCTATGAGTTCCCGTGCATGTTGACACTGAATACAGCGATTCCAGCATCACACCCTTGAAACCTACGATGAAGTCCTTTCCTATTCAAAATGATCTCAAAAAAGGAGATTCTTGCTTTAGACTAAGCCATTAGGAAGTTCCAAGAAAACCAAGTGGGGTTGAATATGAATGGGACACATCAGCTTCTGGTCAATGCTGATGATGTAAATCTACTGGGGGATAATACAAGAACCACAGAAACAAAGGTCTAACTGGTTGATCTAGAAGTAAAAGCAAAAAAAAACTAAGCATATGTTGATGTCTCGTCACCAGAATGCAGGGCAAATTGTAAGATAAATATAATTATGGATCGTTTTATAATGTGGCCAAGTTCAGATACCTGGAACCGATGGTAAAACATCAAAATTTGATTCATGAGGAAATTAAGAGGAGATAACTTGTGTTGGGCAAGGCCGTGGGTTTCTCCGTGGCCTCCCAACAATTACTCCATTCACACACAGAAGCAGGCAATGGCAAACCACTTCTGGATCATCTGCCAAGAACGTATATGAACAGGTCCCAGTCCGAGAAAAGGATGGAAGGATCCTGTTCATATGGACCTGTCGTCACACAGAACACTAAATAATAATAATAATGTTTGCTACTGTTCAGTTCAGAAACTTTTGTCTTGTCGTCTACCGTCCGAAAACGCAAAGATTAAAACATACAAAACTACACTTTTGCCTGTAGTTTTGTACGGGTGTGAAACATGGTCTCTGACACTAAAGAGGTGGGATGGAAAAGACACGATCAGCCATAATCCCCTGAGCATGCGCGTCACTAACCTAATCTAACCTAACCTAACCTAACCCAACCTAACCTAACCCAACCCAACCCAACCCAACCTGACCTAACCTAACCCAACCCAACCCAACCTAACCTAACCTAACCTAACTTAACTTAAGATCTTAAATCGTTATAACACCATAGTGGTTGTTGTGCATTTCAAGCAATATAATTTAAGTATGAAAGTATTTTGTGTTTAATGATGTCACTATATGTATTCCAAAACTTTAAAATCCTATATGGGCTTCCCCGAGTTGCATAAAGAACATTAAGATCAAAGATTGTTAATACTGTCGTATGTAAGTTCTATAATTTGAGGTCAGGACACATCTCCCTCATGTGTTATCGTCAGAGTTAAGTGGCAGCTCTTAAACCAGAGTGTGAAGCCGTGTTGCAGACTTCTTAGGGGCGGTGCCTTGAGCCTTACAACAGAAATAGCTCATCTAATCAGGTCACATCCATTGGAGGTCCTGGATTAGGAATTTTCGCCACGTGACACGCACGCAAATATGTTCTGTTTCAAAATAAGTCGCTGACTTTAAGAATCTGTTTCGACACCCATCTAGTATACTCTGTAGTTGGTGTAATTTCATGCTACGGAATGAAATCGATGTATGCATTACTTGCTAACATAAGATAATCTAGCGGTTAGAACGCTGGCCTTGTAATCCTGGGGTCTCGGGTTCGATTCCCGGCGGTGCCCGAATTTATAACTTGTGTTGGGCAAGGCCGTGGTCTAGGCAACACGGAGTTTTCCTCCGTGGCATCCCAACAATTACTCCATTCCCACACAGAAGAAGGCAATGGCAAACCACTTCTGGATCATCTGCCAAGAACGTATATGAACAGGTCCCAGTCCGAGAAAAGGATGGAAGGATCCTGTTCATATGGACCTGTCGTCATACAGAACACTAAATAATAATAAATAAAGTGTAGTTATTCACTCCAATGTTTCATCCGAATTTCCCACGATCGAATCCAAAAGAATGACCACCTAACATGAGTTTCTAATGACTTATCACAACCCCATAAGGCAATTTGGAGGAAGATGCCATTACGTAAATTACGACCACTTTCTGTAACATCGTTGTCAATTCGATATTCATTATTACCCTTTCATTCGATTCTTTTAGGCTAATTTAATGTTACACAAAACTCTTACGTTTAACACCCCTGATCCCAATATCTTTTCTTAACTTAAGAGACTGATTCAAGGTCTGATTAAAATGCTGTAACAGGAATTTCATTGACTTTAACATCCTTTATGATCAAAGAAGTTTATATTTCGATGTTTGCTACGGGTCACTTAGAAAATTCCTAAGCGTCTTGACGTCTATGGACCGTAATGAAGTGTTCATGGCCGCACGAGCCTGCAACTCAATTAACCACCTCATAAACGCATTAAATCGGTCTGAATGATAAGGAACGGAGCTAACTGCCCGATATGCACGTAGCTTTAATATCTAGAACTCTATATCGTTTCTCAGTTGCTAAGTCATAAAGTGTCCGATACTTCACCGCAAAACCTAATATACTTCCCCTGATGATGGAAGCAGAGAAGGTTTCCGAAACGTTGGGCTTATGTCTAGAACTTTTGCCTGAGAGAATTTTATCTCAAAAGAATAAAATGTACCATGAGGATTGAGGATATAAAGACGGAGAAGTTTTCGATGATGGCGCAGTAGGGACTTGAGAATAAATACTAAAGTTTCGGAGGAACATACTTCCTCCACCTTCAGGTAAGTCGTTTTAACTAATCTCGAAATAGATTTATTCGTAATTCTGTACGCGTGTCTTGTTGCATGAACGTTGAACCGATTAATTAAAGTAAACTTGCGCTTTGAAACCGTTTTATTACTGAGGGTAAGTACCCGCTCGAAGATCTTCCTCTGGCTATAAACTTGTAGGCATCTCATCTCGGTACGGAGAAGTAGGGTTGCATTTTAGGCCCATCCATGTAATTTTAATGTTGAAACGTCAGATATCCTGTGCCTTCTTGCAAATTTCGTAACACGTGTTTTAACGTTCTGCATTGATCGGGCAAGCGCAACGCTCTGGACCTGTATTTAGGAAGCACCCTCTTCGAATCCCAGCCGATTTACCGGGGATACATTCACTAAGGTATTTCATGGTCTTACACAGTACCTCCAGATAAATTAAAAGTGACTAAACTTACTTACTTAAAGGTGTCATCACAACCAATTTGACTATAGCACTCGGACATCGTGAAGCTAATAGTCGTTTAGCTAACCCAACTCGACCAAGACCAGACATCGGTGAAGGATGGCGTCTTGCGCACAAATTTTGAAAGTACAGAAAAGATGGTCGGAAGTTAACGAAATTTTATATGGACGTCATGCCACAGGTAGGTTAATGAAATTCATATTCTATTATTTCATAACAATTGTAAT